GATATTTTTTCACTCTTAATTCATGCCCACCTAGCAATCTCCTGATTCATCATTTGTTTTCTCAGGTTTTTGGAACCTGCATGGGATGAGTTGTATTGTAAATCTTGAATGCATGAATTAGCTCTGGGGTCTATACAACAGTCTCATATTAAAAGAAACTAACAGGAGAGGGAATTGGGAGATGTTAAAGGTATAAACTTGCAACTAGCAGATAAATAAGTCCTGGAGATGTAATGTACAACACAGTGATTATAGACCATAATACTGGATTGTAAACTGCACAGTTGCTAAGAGACTAGATCTTAATTATTCCTACCACACAAAACAGAAATGATAATTACATGATGTGATAGATGTGGTAGTTAATGCTATGGTGGTAATTATATTGCAATATATAAATGTATCAAATCAACACATTGTACACCTTAGACTTACACAATGTTATGTCAATATATCTCAATAAAAAAAGAAACTAACACTTTGTAACAGAAATTTACAGGTAACAAAATACCTTCACATTTGTTATCTATTATGAATTTCCTTCAGACTCACTTCTTCCAGCCTAATCAACCCTGGATACACTGATAGCAGTCAATTTTATGGACTTGCAAAGTCAGGAATCAGACCCTTTACCATGTTGATTCCATGAGGAATGGGAACACTACTGCATATTCTCAGAATCTCACAAAGGGGCAGAGGGGGAAAAGAGCTGACGGACTTGAGAGGTCAAGGTGAACAATAATAATACTGCTTTCTGCTTGCAACTTTCTCAGTCCAGCTCATCCAACAAAACAATTCCACTAGGGGTCAGGCTTTACTTGAAATCCGTGTCACGCCCAGCCAGCAAGAAAACAGAGGTAAGCTTCCTCCTCTCTCGCTCCCCCCACTTCTGTTCTTCATTCCTCCTTTCTTCCCTCCCAGTAGTTCATTCATCAGGTGTATTTTGAGCGGCTACTAAAAGCCAGGCACAGCACCAGATGCTAAGGGTACATGACTCCCACAGTGGAGGAGACAAGGTAAAGTGGAGAAGACAGACCTTTAACAAAGTAGAAAAGATAATTAGAACAGAAGCTAACAGCCTCAGTCAGCAGTTAACAAACAACTAAAAACAGCAGTTCTCAAAGTGAGGTCCACAAAACCGTGGGGTCCCTTGGAAGCTTGACAGCTTCCCAAAACTTAAACACTTTTCTCATGCAATTGAAGGTGATGTTACACAGGTAATTTTAAAAATATACTGTATAATGAAGTGTGTCAACATCTGGATGTTTTGCAGCAGTGAATCAATATTTCCCAAATGATCAGTGCATGATGTTACAAAGTCATTGCATGTTAAATGTCCATGCAAGATAGAGAGATTTTAATCTAAGAGCACAAAGAGTTCATTGGTATAGTTTTGTCGCCAGAGGCTCACAGGATATCCAAGAGAGGACTCAACCTGGAGCAGCGGTGACCAGGTTCTTGTCTTGGCACAAGCGAGACATGCAGGAAAGCACAGGAAGTTTATTAAAATGAAAGTACACACTTGGGAGGAAAGTGTAGGCGAACTCACAAATTGAGTCTCACCGAGAAAGTCCTGACCATGGGTATTATTATGCCTTCCACAGGGCAGGTTTTGGTAACATCCATTGTAGTAACCACAATGTAGATGATATTATAAAAACATAATTAGCTAAAGGTCAGGTCCCAATCAAGGGGATTAGCCTTGCTGGATGAAACTGGTTCTTGGTCTTCTCCAGCTGCAGGTGCTGGATACAGTCACTTGTCACTTGTGTAACCAGTGAAGCACCTCACATTGTATCCTGGAAGGGGTTGTCATTTTCCTAGGCTACATGTCCTGGCTCAGTTCCAGACTCCACACTGCAACTAGACTTTAAGAAACTACCACTCAACAAGTTTTGATATAATATCAAAGAATATAGAAAATTCTCTTAAAAGGCTTTTAAATAGCCCCACCCCACCTTTTTTCCGAAACATGTTCATATGAGACCACATTTCTTCCATATACTTCAAACAAAACATATTGATTGAATGCAGAAGCAGGTATAAGAATCCTCCAGTCTTCTATTAAGCCAGATGTGAAAGAGATTTGAAAAAAATGTAAAATCATGCTACTCTTCTCATTAATTATTTTTGTTTTGGAAAATATAGCTATTTTTCCTAAAATGTGTTCTTTATATTTTCGTGTAATGGGTGTATTATTTTTACTTCTAAAAAAATTAATATTTTTAACTTTCTCAGTTGTAATTTTTAATAGAGTAAATATCAATACCTATCATCCCTAAATACAAAAGCTCTTTGGAGTCCTCAATGATTGAAGAGTGAAAAAAGAGTCCTAAGACCCAAAACTTTTAGCAG